GCAAAACACCCACAAAAAAACCCACCACTGTTACCGTATTTCCACACTCATGGAAACTGCCGGGTGGTTTTCAGAATGCGTCAGCGTGTAACGACGCCTTTCACCCCCGCAAGTCGCTCGGTGCACGGCACAATCCCAGCGCACGCCGCACAACCTGTGCATACCTGTCTCCCCGCAGATCCGTCAAGCGTGGCCGCCTGCACATCGAGCCTTCGGGTGTGGTTTGTGTCTGTCTGATATGACATTCGTGGGCTTGGCAACAGAGGAGAGGAAAATCATGGAAGGGGTAGGGGTGATGGAGAGAAGCACAACGCTTCAAGCATAAATACAATATTGACCATGTTACTTCGGAAATGTTTAATTGATATGACATTCGTGGGCTTGGCAACAGAGGAGAGGAAAATCATGGAAGGGGTAGGTGTGATGGAGAGAAGCACAACGCTTCAAGCATGAATACAATATTGACCAAGTTACTTCGGAATTTTTAAAAATAAAATATCCAGACGTGAGTGGACTTTGGCTCAGTCAAAGAAAAACCACAGGTGTCTAACAGGGGTGTGAATCTACTCCATACCGACCATCAAGTTATTTAATTTGTACAAAGTGCGGTTTTCCAGGCTTAAGCTGCGTGTCGAGCATTGATTTTGCACAATATTTTCACCACGCACTACTGCGGGAATCTACAGCAGTTGATGTCATCTTCCTGATGATGCCCGTAGACATGGGTGGCAATCACCTGCGAGAAGAAATGTTCAACACGCAGCTCAAGCCCGACAAATTGCACTTGGATTATAAAACAGGCTGCAAAACAAACTTGCGTGCGCTATCCGTTTCAATTGTCAATGAGCTGAAATTTCAGATTTTTACAATGACAAAATTAACTCTAAAGAGAGAATTTAAAAAGATAGATGTTTTTTTTCTATATAAACTTTAAGAAACACAAAACCGCAGCAGCTACGCGTATGAGTTTTTAATTCCGAATAAAAACACCCCACGCGCACACACTCATGGAAACTGATTTTTTTTTCTACAAAACATTTGTTGCAGTGGGTGGTTGGCTTTTGAAAGCAGTGGGGCCATAGTTGCCTCTGTAGGCGTAATTGTTAACAGAAGCTGTGCTTCGTGCCCCTCTCAGGATTAGTCAGCATAATCCACTGCCCTTATATGGTAACAGTACCCGCATTGTATGCCGAGTGCGTTCCTGGCCGTTTAGCACAATTGCAATAAAAGAGCTTTTATGATGTCAATCCATAGGCTTTAACATTCCAGCCACGAACGCCACAGACATGGAACACATCCAAACCAACGCTAACGCGATACACAAACCAAATAAAGTTACGTTTAAAATAATTAATCAAACTTTGCGCGTGTGTATACAGATTTGCATATGCACTTTGATCCATGCTTTTTTAAATGCGTGAACACACAATATGAAGAGTATATCCATTATGATGTTCCAATGCAGCCACTCCGCCTACACACGTAACTTTGTCAATGCACACGGAGGGACAAAGACCTTCACACACTCGTGTCAGTAAATGGGGATTAATTCTAGATTTGATGGGGATTGTTTTGAGCAGAGTCTACCTCGCTGGTCAGTGTGGTTGGTTTGTAGTTGATGCTCTTCGTCGACATCATCCATACGAAAGAAGAAGTGCGGTTTGGTGAATGGGTGACGAGTACGGGAAGCAAGACCAGTTCATATTTCACTCGCCCCCAATGTTAGCCGTGGCCTGGAATTTAACTACGGGTCATCAGGTTCATAGCACAGTGCGCTAACCACTTTGCCACCGCTCAACCCCGATGGTTGCAAATATATCCCATTCTTTACACTATGTCAAACATATATGACATTGTATAAACAAATACTCAATATGTAGTACATTTTACGTGTTTGCTATGTGTGGGTTACTTGACACTCTGGACAGCTTGGACCCACCTGCAAACGAGATGTTCTATCTCAAGGGATAATCCAAGCGAAATATTTATTTTGGAGCAAAAAAAACCGGTTAATGTTAGAAAAAAAATTGCGTATATTTGTTCAGGTTTTTTTGTGCACACTGGCAGTTGTGCCACTAAGAAGCCCAGTAATAACTAACCTCTTACGTCTTACAGAGGTGAGTTAACTCACTGCTGGATGAAATCCTGCCCAATCAGCAGCAACGTTATCATAGTCAACGTCATCACCATTCATGTGTTCACTTCTTGGATCAAAGCTTCCTCTACTCCACTCAAGATGCAGCGATGGTCCCTGGACCTGTGCACCCTTTACTCGCCTAAATTGTCCCAGTTCGCCGATTTAAGGCTGAATTCATGAAACGTTATACATGTGTTATTCCGCAAAACACCCCTACGCAGTGGAAAAAAACCCACTTCGAAGAGACAAAGATTGATATCCACACACATGCTTTCAAATGCGCTTCTGCGGCCGTCTGGAATGCTCTTCCTTCTGATATTAGGAAACCACTGAAGTTATGCACTTTTCAATCATCTATATTGCAAACTCATTTCTTTAGAACTACTTTTTTTGCGTGTGTTTAGTTTATTGTCCTTCACCCGCACCTCCGTACGGTGCGAAAGAGGTTCAACACACGGCACATACATTTCAGCCACCGATTTGCTTAGCGATGGCCAATGACACACACGCACGCGCTTCAATGGAGACCAACCTGCTTCGTGTCCTTACATGGGCAGTCGCAGCCGGTGGCGCCGTTGGAATGCAGGGACGGACCACTCCCTCTGGGCTGCGAGCAGCAGGTGAAGCACCCGCATCCCTCCCGACCGCAGAGCCGCGGAAGCGCCCGGGCAGTGTCCGAGCAGACTGCACCCAGGTGCACAGTCTAATCTGGTGGGGGGGGAGATGACAACGATTGCGAGATTGCACAATTTGCACGATGAATCAAACGCAACATTACGAGACCAAGGCGCGCTCTCATGCGCCTACTCAGGCACGCGGTGTGAATTGACTGCTATTATAATTGCTCAAATATAAGTAATTAATTATATAACTATATTTTGATTGAAAGCTTTCGTGACTGCAGGGATTCATATTCTTGGTTCTTTCAGTAAAGTCACGTAGAAGGGAAATAATAAAATAAAAAATATATAAAACAATGAAAAAAATAAAAAGAACCAAAAATATATAACTATATATAATTATTTAACAGCAATAATGTTTCTTAGCCGTTGAAATGTTGAAAACTTTTTAAAAATCTATTTTTGACTCACCTCTTGACTCACCTCTTGCACGATTTGAGTTTTACTAAGAAGTCACAGTAAGATGTTCCAAATCCGACCGTCGCGTATCCACGTTGACCAACTGACCTCCCACGCCAAGGGCTCGATTGTGTAAACTTTACTTTCCTGAGCGAGTTCACAAATCACACATTTTCACGCGCAGTTATTGTTTTTCTTAATCTCGTCGACATTCACCTGCTTCTAAATTGCAAAAAGGCATTCTGTCCAAGTTTAAATCAGTTTTGCGTTTGCTTATTTTTTTGCCCAGTAACTTATTTGTGCATGGTGGTGTAACCGTCATTCTCTCGAGACGATCACACATCCAACCTTTTCACGTATTCGCCGATACCTCCCCAGCGAGTCGGGTATGCGATGTTGTGCTGCGGTTTGGTGTTTACACTACAGCCGGTACCGTGCTATAACTCGAGCGACTTGACTTTGATTCCCCTTGGCCATGACTCCCTCGGCCCTGCCCACGACAGCCAGTGGTGAATGTTATCTGAATACTGCATGCAGTTTGCACTTTGTTCAGGCGAAGGATAATAAAAAAAATATAACTAAAACAATGAACCTGGAGTTATAAGTAACATTTCAAGTAAAGTTGAGTAAAAAAATTGTAAAATTTTAAGTAAAAATGTTGAGTAAAATAATATTTATCCGCAATGAATAACGTGATTAAGTTTGGTCGAACAACCTCTTAACTTACACGATATGGGAAGGTTTTCCTCTTGTAACAGCTTAACACAGGGTTGTGAATTCTATATCGCAGGATATGTATCACACAATTGTTGTATTAGGATATCTTAGGTTTCATCGTCATTGTTTTACTAACTGGTATGTTGTTCATAAAGGTACAACAATATTACTTATGAAATAAATGTGAATACAAGTGTAAACTACATCAGCAAACACATGAATACGTGACGCAGTCCAAGTATACCCGTGTGCCAACGTGGTTATGGTGTAAATTATTTAATATATTTTTAGCCAGATAATTTTTGTTTATCAAACACTCTCGAGGTGATTGGGGGAATGTTGTTTTGATGTTTTCACACCAAAAAAATATTAACGGCTTGCAGATTTTCACATCCTAAGATATGCCGTGAAATTGATCATCATCAGCCATGATCAATCCATTGTTTCATGAGGGCCTCCCCGAGTCGTGCCAATATTCCACTGTTGTGTGATATAGCAATCCATTGCACGCTTGCTGATCACATCACTCCATCTCCCCGGTCGACGTTCTCAGATACGTTCCATTCCTTGTTTGCCACTCCATCACTATTCTTGGCCATCATCTGGTCTATCGATGTGTCCTGCCCAAGCCAACTCACTCAACAAATTGAATAACGCCTTTATCCTGGGTACAATTGTAGTGACATAGCGCTGACTGTTGGACAGCAGCAGCAACTGCAGGTGGGCACTGAGAGCACACGCCGCTGAGCATACACGCGGGTGTGCCGGCAGGGCGGAGGAACTGGGGCAAGGGTCACGGTAGACCTCGTGGGGAACATCCTGGAACCCTCTAGAGAGTTCAAGAAGGGAGGCGCGGCTATGGCAGAGCCAAGCCGTGCCGAGGGGAATAAAAGCAGCAGAGAGTGGGGAGCTCCGGGCTGCCGGTTCTGGACTCATCTCGTTGTCACTGCCGCCTTTGCCCAGGCATTGCGCAGCCGGACAGCGATTGGCTGTCCCGGTAGACGCCGTCGGTGCAACGCGGGCAGGGTCGTGTCAGGGATGGGTCGTGGGTGGGAGAGAGAGGGGGCCCGAGTGGTGGCGTGAGCCCGGCAACAACGAATAAAGAGGGCAGAGCGGTGCCCCCCTGTGAACACCTCGTCTCCGGCTGACTGTGTGGCCGACGCGCGCCACCCGCACGAACAGACGGCACTACACGTTCTTTGAATCCACGTTCCCCTTTCTCGAGTTATCTCCGTGCGTTCATCTCTCCACGCCCCTTTGCACGAAACGAACAGCTTGCTGGGAAATTAATGGTACGCGGATAAGCGATCACTGTGCATTCCTGCACATTAGCGAGCGTATGGATGGCAAGCAGGGTGGAATTCGTCTTGGAATGTGAGACATATCTGTGGGCTTCTTGAGACGCGTGCATGTGGCAGGGTGGAGGAAGGAGGGCACGGCAGACTGCGGTCTCCGTATCGATAACTGCAGACATGCACGCATTGCCAAACTGGTGAAAATTACTGCGGTGGAAGGAAATCCTTTGAAATGACCCCGGCTTACAAAATGAGATTGCGTAAAGCATCGTCAATGTTTAGTGAGTGAGGCTCATATAATAAGTGCTGATGCTCCACCTCGTACAGATTTGCTTCTGTGTTGAAGGGGAATTGATGAGGAAACACAACGGGACTTCAGAAAGCGAGTTATGTAATAAATATATGTTGTCGACAACAAGGAACACGTTGCTTAAATAATCTATAGGATTCATAATCAACGTTTTTGGGTTTAGATCGCGTTTATTTATAAATGTGTCGTAACCCTCCACCACCCGACACGGCCAATCAGTAAAAATGTGTCACGTTGACAAAGACAAATAGATCACTGCTTTAGCCCACCGGTGTGTTGAAGCCACAACATTTACAATTTGAGTACGACGTTTCGCTGGTAATTGCAATCAGCATCATCGGGCAATTCGCCAGAATGGTGAGGCTCTCCTGTGTCTCCCGTTCTTATATAGAGCAGCAGCAGGGTGACGTCATCATTAACTCATCAACTCATCAGGTGCAAAGATTCCAGGGGGGAGTGATTGTAATTATATACTAGATTAGTAATCAGGCTATTGTTACGATGCGAGTTGTAGATTAGTAATCATTTGGAATGCGTTTTTTTGTGATTATCCCTTCTACATGTCGGCGCATTCTATTGGCTTTCCCCACTTACTCAGGGATATTACCATGTCAATTACCGAACACCCCTTTCACAGAACCATCCTTTCATCTCTTAGAGCGCTTATGTTTTACATAGTCTTCATGGCTATTGTTACACAATTGTTTATTCAGTCAGAATATATATAATATTATTATTTATGTTTCCCCCGTCACCAGGGCTCGGCAACCTGCATCTCCGCAGCCGCGTGCGGCTCTTTGAGGGACTGCTTCGTGACCTGTATTTATTAAGGGCCCACCATCCCGTATTCACCACGTGCATTGCGGGCTGGGTGACCACCGAGGCTTGCCAGGAGTTGTAGGTGTGGTGCTGTGGTGAGTGTCACCCTCCTCGTTCTCCTGCTGCTCAAAGTTCCCTCCTACGTGAAGCAAAATACTCATGAATAGAATCGACCAGACATCTCAACGCAGGGTGCTCCTGACGCCGATTGCGAGACTCACCGAGTCTCAAGCTCACTGAGTGTGGAGACTCTGCGAGGCTCAGTGAGACTTCCCTTATATAAATCATTGGCATTATTTATATAATCCCAAAACAACACCATAACAAAGCATTTCTCAACAGACATTTACTTGGTCACCCTCATTGCAATATGAAAACACGTGTTTGACTCTTGTGCGTGCGTGTTGTTGTATTATTTACATCACTGCTTGGTGATCTGTTTTTTCCCCAACTTTCTTTTAAACAATTTGAGCTGCTGCAGATGTCGAAATTTGCCTGCTAAATATGTTCCCATAACGCTTCGTTTTTGGTTCAGTGTTTTAATACCTCGCCTGGTGGCATTGGCCCGCCGGGAATGTTCCCCAGCAGATTTATTACTGCGTGCCGAGCCGGGGAGTTCGCTCCAGCGATGATGGAGGGGGCGCGAGAGCATGCCATGTTTCCACGCTGGGATATCGCGGCCTGGTATGTCGGCCTCTCTGGAATGCCTCACCCCTGCACAACCTGCGATTACACCACACGGGAGGTGCTATGTGATGGCAACTGAAGCGTTTTTCGGTTTTTTTTTGTATAGCGGTGGCTTGGCGGTCACCGCACGGCACTACGGAGGCCCACCGTCCTGAGTTTCAATCCTGGCTGTGACATTTCGATGTAAAGCTTTCGTGACTGCAAGGATTCATCTTCTTGGTTCTTTCGGTAAATTCACGTAGAAGGGAAGTAATAAAATAATAAAAATAAAACATAACAAAATAATTATCACGACGTTTCGGCCACAACGCAAGCAGCCGTCTTCAGGTGGAGAACAGGTTGATTGCGTTGTGGCCGAAACGTCGTGAGAATTATTTTGTTATGTTTTATTTTTATTATTTTATTACTTCCCTTCTACGTGACTTTACTGGCTGTGACACTTAACGTAAGTGGCAGGTGATGAATTATCATTCGAGAGCCAAACAACGGTGCCTCCTGGATTTGACATTTCTCGGAGACACTGGTGGAACGATCAACCGCATCAGAGCATCAACAGGAAACGGTGGCCTTGTAACGCGCAGTGCGGACCGTATAGTAAAGCACTGAAGTCTCCGCTCATTCAACGGCGGAGGAAGAGAAAAACACTCCACAGACTCTCTCCTGAAGCCCTCTCGCTGCTAGCAGACTTCGACATTGCCAATTATCTCCTGAACCTATTGCCTGACGCAGGAATAGAATACTGATATCTGAACCAGTCCTGGGACTTACCAACTTCGTCAACCCGCACTTTATGGCCAGCGTAGTGAAGAAGGGTTAAGCAACTCCCATGACCAATTGAACACGCACGTGCTTTCATTTCAACTCGAGAAAGTAAAATTGTTTGCAACCAACAGTTTTTTTATGTTAAGTGTTTGTTGTTCTTCCCCCGCACCTCTGAATAGCACGGTTGGCTATGTACGGTGCGAAAGAAGTCCAACATACATAACATGTGTAGTGACATAGCGCTGACTGTTGTACAGCAGCTGCAACTGCAAGTGTAGCGTACACGCCGCTGAGCATATACACGGTGTGTGTGTACACGGTGTGTGTGTGTGTGCCGGCAGGGCGGAGGAACTGGGGCAAGGGTCACGGTAGACCTCGTGGGGAAGCCCCTAGAACCCTCTGGAGGGTTCGAGAAGGGAGGCGTGGCCTGGGCGGAGCCAAGCCGCGCCGAGGGGAATAAAAACAGGGGAGAGCGGGGAGCTCCGGGCTGTCAGTTCTGGGATTGGACTCGCTTTATCGTCGCCACCGCCGCCTTCGCCCGATCATCGCGTGGCCGGACAGCTGTTAGCTGTCCCGGTCGACACCGTCGGTGCAACGTGGACAAGGTCGTGTCTGGGCCGGGCCGGGCCATGTGGCAGCGTGGTCGTGGTCGAGAGAGAGAGGGGGCCCGAGTGGTGGCGTGAACTCGACAACAATATAAGGGGAGGACGGTGACTCCTGTGACTACCTTGTCTCCGACTGAGTGTGTGTGCGATGCACGCCACCCGCACACACACACAAGCCTCGAGCAAAAGGAAGAGGAGACCTACGACACTACACATACATACATAGAAAATGCCCGCAAGCAGTGCGCACTGAAAGCTTGAGAGAAGAAATGCCCAACACGCAGCCGAACCCAACCCAAATAAGAATTTCCGTAAAAAAATATCCCTCAATATTTAAAGAGCCATCAATGCAATGTGAATACGAAACGGTGGTCCTTAGTAAAACAAACGTCACGAAGCGGTACTTAAAGAGCCAACCCCTGCCCATGACAGACACAACATGGGGAGCTCTTCATGCAGCAGTGGATAGACCAAGAGCTTTAAATTATCATTCTTAGTTAGCATAGTACACAGGAACGCCGGGCAACACATACTTGAGATGTGAATTATAAACGCATTCTGAAGCTACTAAAAAACAATTCCACTGCAATGAAAATGTAGAATGACATATTTGCATGTGCGACAACAATGGGAACACCGAATTGCAGTGTCGACAAGGGTAAATTGTGGGACGGTCATCATTGACGAAAGAAACGATGGCCATGACAATAGCCTAACATAGCGTGCATCTCATTCAAGTCCATGTTAATTATCGACTGGCAGCGTTAGTAATGGAAATTAATAGCGGCATATGCACAACAAGAACGCCACGCGGGTTGCCCGTCAAGCATACGGCAATGCGATCGTTTCAAAAGAAGCTGACATGTCAGATTATGTTAAAAAAAATTGAACGACAATGTAGTTCTCACGGATGATGTTGAGTAATTATTTCATCACAGTACCGCGAATCATCCGTGTGGGGTTGCATTGCCTTAGCCGAACGGCTTTTCAATGAGCCCAAATTTTGTAACTTATACAGTCGTTTTCTTTTCTCTTGCCATTGTCCCATTACCTGTTATTTTGTTGTCTGCGTTACCTGCTATAGCACGTGCATGTAAACATGGCAATACGTTGAGCGAGGCTGGGAATGTGATAAGTGCACAAATCAGCATATATCGGCGCCCTACTTCAAATTACACTGAGAAACAGAAAGAGACACATGCAGATTAGTCAGTGCGTGCAGGTTAGAGACATTGCGTTCAAACTGTTGAGAAAAGTAATTGGGCAGGGCATGCCATCTTTGCTAAATTCGTACGAGAAATCAATGCCAAATGGCTCAGCAACAATAAAAAACGATTGTACCAACATTTTGTCCCATGCCATTGGCTCTTAGTAAAATGTCGATCACGTCGGCGCTTAAATTGAGACTTTATTTCAACCCTGGCCAATTTAATGTCATGAGTCAGCATAACTGACCACACCCGTGTTCCATTTCTCAAGTGACTGAGTGTGTTTAGAACGCAATGCACGGGGTTCTGCAGAGTCATGTTGAATAAATGTTAGTAGGAAGTGAGACATATTTAATCAAGCTCGACTACGGCTTCAACATCAAAGCCCTCCATTCAATCACCTCTACAAATATATTTTTGTCATCACTGTCTAAGCCACCAGGCGAACTCCAGTCATCCTCGCAGCAGCCGCTTTTGGCTGGCCATTGAACAAAGATGATCACCGCAGCACGCGCTTTCAGGTGCACTTCTGCGGTCGTCTGGAACGCTCTTATTTCCAAGATTCGGAAGCTACTGGAGGTATGTGCTTTTAAATATAGATGGAAAACTCATTTCTTTAGAACTGATTATTGTTCAGTTTATTGTCCTTACCCCGCACGGTTGGCTACATATGATGCAAAATAAATTCTACATACAGTACATACGGGGTTGGTGAATGACTTGAGAGGAAGCCCTGGGAAACATCAACGTTCAGAGGTGGTGACAGTGCTAAATTAGCACATAGGCAAGCAGGAATATGTGCAGGGCCTTTTGAAAGGGGAGCCCAAAAACAATAAAACTGGTGCCCAGAAAACTATTCGTTCAGACATGGGTGACAAGCAGAGCTGCTGCATGAACACTACCAGAATGGCATGATCTTACATGCGTTCTTGTGACTAAATCAACCTAAATCCGATCTCACCAGATCTCCAAAGCTAAATAGCGTTAAGCCTTGCTATTTCTTGGATGGCAGACTGCCCGGTGTTGTAGGCTTAGGCTACGGGGTGGACATGAGTTTGTGGTGCAGCGCTGAATTCTTGAATTTATTTGCGTGGGGTTTTTTTTTATTATGGTCGGATTTCACACTTCAAGTCTATTTTGTTCAATTAGGTGAGATCCCAAGAGACCAAGGAAGGTCTCATTTGCAAGAGTGACCCGGGTCACAAAAAATTACAAACGCGATCACGTAAAATGTACAGCAATGAAGCAACCAGAAATCGGAGAAAAACCCAGCGGCTATGAATCAATGTAGAAACAAGCAAATATAAATCATGAGCCAAAACAAGCAAAAAGAAATCGGAGCAAAAACAAGCGTATAGTGATCAGAATCCCCCAAAAATGTTGTTACTGAAACAATTCAATAAAGAAAACAACTCCTGTAATGAAAGCTGGCTCACGAAATTGACTTTTTTAAACCACTCACGGTAAAATGACATTACAGGTGGTCTCTGGTGCACCTGCTTTCGTCCCACATGAAGCCAGACACTCAGTATTCTCATTCACTGCACAACCCTCCCGTAAAATAGTCACACTGGGTCCATGCATGTACAGATATGTTTTGTCGGCTGTGAAATTAACCTGATCGTTGTACATTCCTTGGAATCAAGTCACTGGTCCTTTGGGCTCGGGTCTACGGGTGGCTTAACATTTCCGCGGACCGGACCTGGTCAAAGTATTAAGGCGGCAGTTGCACCTGCAAGCAGTCAAAATAAAACTCGCATCTACACCGTGCTCATTCGTGGGCCTACATCTTACACAGCGGCTCAACGTTATTCTGTTGCCGTTTATACAATGCGCCAGGACATATCGACATGTTCACGACCGCACCCCCCCCCCCCCCCCGCATACTCGTAAAGCTTGAATTGCTTTGCAATTATACATCTCGACTGCCATGCACATTAGTCATGAAAAATGTGTCTGGGGCGCCGTGCCATTGCCACCACAGAGCAGGGATCAGCAACGCTTGGCACGCAAGGCTCTGCCACCCCAACAAGGAACAGATCTGGGTGCGCCAGTTCTGCAGAGATGGTGTGAGTCGAGTGGACACAGCGTGAGGATGTCTGTGGCTCCAGTAACATTCAAAACGAATGCAGACTCTTCTCCATGTGGGTGTTCGTGCACGTAATGTATGCCGATGACTGGTACCAGCGGTGTTAAGATCGGTCTCTGTAGAGGAGGCTCACGAAGGATGCTACTGGACAGTTGCAGGTTGCCATCTAACAACAACGAAGTGAGGAGGAGTAACTCTCACAACAAGGAGTGGACCAACACGTGGTTAAAGCACAGCGAGGTGGCACAGCGTGGGAAACAGGTGTTGCATCTGTCAGTCATCTCAGTCAGTTGACCAAAAACGCATGCGTTTCTCACGTTACTTCATGCCATCAAACCTTCCCCACTTCACGTCGCCTCAAAATGCACCTAGCCTGGCACAAGTCCTGCGGTGATGTCACCACGACTTAGTGACGAGTGGCGGTTATTGTTGTTGTCTGGAGAGTAGCAGCGGAGTGATCGGCGCACACTGCTACGGACCTCGAGACCGGCCTTCTATTCTGGCTCATGTAAGTGGCAAAATATGCAACTGGTTCTGAGCCTTCCCTAGGTCGACTCAGCCTTAAATGAGTACATTGTACAGTGTGCAAACATTAGCACTGGGGAGACAAAGGTGGTCAGGGGTGGCCACAGCCACACCACCCCCTCGTGTACCGTGGTAGCCTTCGTAGACATGTGCTCACTAACAGCACTTGCCCCAACATCTTGCGTAGGCTAAGCAGGGGATCTTTATCTCTGTTGTTGACCACTACAAGGTGTTAGGTAAGAATCTGCCCACACGCGCACTGCCACGCTGCCGTGCTTAACGGCGAGCAGGAAGGGGTGAATTAGAGACAGTGTCAACGGGAAGCATCAGGATAAGGAAGTAAAGCGGGGGGGGGGGGGGGGTAAAGGCACCTCAATGTGCCTCGGGCTTCTTGCCCAATGCCCCAAGAGCAGTTCAACGCTGAAGTTCCATTCAGACGAACTGTGCAGGCACAAGGACAGCCACTGAAATGTAATGCTTGGGCGCGTAAACAACAGTTGGTGTCTGGGAGTCTACAAGAGGGGAGCTCGGTGTGATTTGCTATGGAACTGTGCACGCATTTCTTGGTTTTAACGTTCAGCAAATGCTCTACGCTTTAATTTAAAGAATGTTAATAGTTGGACGAATTGCACCTCGTGTCGTGAGATTAATGTAGCAGGTCAACGAGGTTCAGAATTTTTAGGCCCTATCTTTTGAAATTACTTGTTATTATTTTTTTACAGGAACATATACATTTATACGTGTATATAAATACCGCTGTGGAAATATGGCCTCCCTATACCATGGTCGGTGTGGATTGGTGAAGGTGGAGGAGTATCAATGCAGAAGCACAGACACTCATAAACAACTCGATTCATTCTGCATTGATCTCTATCGTAACTATGCTGGATTTCTTTTGCACCATACGTAGCCAACCGCGCTATTCGGAGGTGCGAGGGAGAACAATAAACTAAGCACAAAAAGCAGTGCTAAAGAAATTAGTTTTTAACCTAGACGTTTTAAAAGGGCATAGCTTCAGTGGCTTCCTAATATCGAAAGGAAGAGCATTCCAGACGGCCGCAGAAGAGCATCTGAAAGCGCACGAAGCACTGGCCGTCTTTGTTTGATGTCTAGACAAAAGCCGCTGGGATAAAGTAGCACCAGCCAGGCTCGTACCTGCTTTGCTTCTGAGATCTGACGAGATCGAGTGCATTCCGGGGAATTCGAGCAATGGCTGTTAGTATTTCTGGTATAACAATCAGACTTAATTCATGATTTCGTGGAAAATTACATCTGACTGTCATAACAAATACATTATGAAATACAATCAATTATAGTATTCTTAACAAATGTGTTTTTTCGTACGTATGATGATGAATTACATCAAGTTGCAAAACATCTAACGTTCCAGCCACCAAGCTGCCTTTCACTTCACGGCATATTACGAGAACGTATATTTATTCCAACGTCCGTCTTGTCGCCTAGGTTTCGAATTGAGCCCTTTCCAACATTAATATAAACATTCACGAAACCCCTACGGGCATGTCCCGGGACCACCAACGCTTTCGGCTGCTTGCTAATAAATTCGTGGATTATGCTGCGGTCAGACGTGATCAAGGGGAAAGGATGACTGCGCCCATGAGCTGTCTCATTCGCCAATTTTTTCAGTGCCAGGCTGAGAGAATGGCTTACTGTGCTGCTCTGCAACGTTTGAATCGCGCTGTCAATCAGCTTTGAAGAAAAAAAATGCCAGCGAGTGCGACTGAGGGCTTTGCTGAACCCCCCCCCCTGCCCCCCGGACAGGACTCTGCAAGTCGGCATACTTCCTTGGTGAGGTCTGCCGCAGGCGTCATCCAGCGCTACAGGCGGCAGGGTCTGTGTGGACAACACAACAACAAGGCTCGATTGATTCACTGTTGTTCGGCGTTGCGAAGGCGCGCGACGGGGATTGAGGAAGGAGGGCGCACCGTACCCACGGCACACAGAGAGAGAGAGCCTTGGACGTAGGGCACTCGCAACTGTTCGGGGACACCGTATCGTGCGGCAAGGGCAGTGGAGGCTGTGACATAAAGTTGAGCACAATGCGCTTATACAACCTTCATGTCCCGTGCTCAACACCTGCAATGCACAGTTTTTTGTGCTTTTTATGTTTCTGACAAAAAAAGGAACCATGCCTTATACCAGAAAGAAAACCATCGGAATTCAAACTCTCCGGGTTTTATGAAAAGCCTATCACTTTTTAGAGAAGTCTACAGCGGTTGTCCAATGAGAAAACAAACTTAACTTGCCTCCACCATAAGAACGTGGAATTTCCACCACTGGTTCAGGGCCTTAAAGAGGTGATGAGTGTTCACCCATCGCTTCATTGACTGAAACACCACTTTGGCATTTTTTGTTCGTGGAAGTTGATACACGAACCTGGCCTGGGCTTCTCTTACATGAACTCAGTCTGAAATTAATAAACGTCAGCAGGAAACAGCAGTGGCCAGACTTGATGTTGGCACATCATGCCCTCATATTTTGTTCCGCCTTTGACATACACTTGTCAACAGCACCTTTCCGCGTGGTCTACAATGCTAAAGTTGTGTCTTTATATTTGACTTTGGCAAATCAAGTGGTCGGCACATTATACACATACAACCCTTTCGGCAAATCCAGTGCTGGATGAGCACCTCCTGGTTCGTGGGTATGATTTGACCATACTTCATGACGCTAGTCAGTGTTGGTTGGTAACAACAGGAAGCATAGCAGTTGAGAAACATAATTCTGTATGCACTGCCCTTTACTGCTCACCACTTTTCCCTGTGACCCGAAGACAATCTGTTTGTGGATGGTGGTCACCCATTCAAGCACTATGCACGCTCAATCTTGCTTAGCTTCTGATATAGGGTGCATTCCGATGGACACATTAGACTTAAATAATAAGTCAAATGTATATATATAGGGCATCTCAAAACTATTGGTAACTCAAACACGAAATTGAGGTCATTGAAGCATTTCGCGGCGAATGCTGAGCAATGCGTGGGTCAAATGTATGCCAGTGACTAAAGCCCGACCCAGTTTTATGCTGATGGATACCACAGTGTGCTCTCATCGTGTCAATAAGGGGCATGAGGATGGCCGTCTCCAAGACTGAAAGTCTAAACTGTTTAAATTAGCATTCAGGGCATCCCTTGCTTGACTCATTCGCCAGTGAATGGCTTGCGGTAATGTGATCTCAGGGTGGAAAAACGTGGCCCCATGAGATGCCCGATGGATCCTACCCACCATACGCTTGCATCCTCAAAATATGCTGCTCTCATCTTTTGGGACGACTCATTTCAAAATAGAAAAATCGAAGACCTGTTGAGAGAAGAGTTAAATATATTAGAGAGAAAATAAAAACATCTTATATCTTCTTGGTTCTTTCGGAAAAAGTCACGTAGAAGGGAAGTAAAAAAATAAACATAATAAAATAAAATAATTCTCACGACGTTTCGTCGTGAGAATTATTTTATTATGTTTTTTTATTACTTCCCTTCTACGTGACTTTACCGAAAGAACCAAGAAGATGAATCCCTGCAGTCACGAAAGCTTTAAATCGAAATTTAACCACTTATATTTAGAGATATCATTTGGTGCATGCTGACATATTCTTGAAACAACACGACGTCTTCATCGATAGCACGCCCGTTGTGGTAAAAAGATGATAGGCTACGCATTTGGCAATGGCTCTTCTTCATAGCACATAGATGTTCCA